AGACATCCTTTCAGGGAGTTGGTGGGTAATAGAGTCAACTAATCGGCTTCGTATCGTACTATACTCCAGAAAGGGTATGGGTTTGTCCTTTTTGTGTGGAAGGACAAGACAAAAGAAATCTTGCACAACAAGCTTCTTTTGATCGCTGAATGCTGGAATAACCCTAAAGGTCTCTTCAGCATTCACTGAGGCCTGGGCAATCTTTACACATATGTTGACCAGGTTGTAATCACTGAATGCCGCTTCAGATCATAAACACGCTAGTCTCTAATCTTCAGTTTCAGTCTTTGACTTTCACTGAAGGTTCTTTGGTGTGAGTTTTGTCTTCTAGAAGTATCACTATTGTTGATGGATTTACAATACATATTTCAGCGATCACTGAACAGACTCAGTGATGATCACTGGAACTGAAAGATAGAAACATAATACTTCGTAATAGATAAAAGAGATTATCATCAAATCAATGAGAGAAAGAGGATCAACACTGAGTCTGTTTAGTGATCGCTGAAACATATATTCTAATCATACAACGACAGTTATACTTCAAGAAGACAAAAATCACACCTAAGAACCTTCAGCAAATGTCGAAGACTGAAACTGAAGATTACTAACTAGTGCGTTCGTGTCTGAAGCGGTATTCAGTGATTAAAACCTGGTCAACATATGTGTGAAGACTGCATAAGCCTCAGTGAATGCTGAAGAAACCTTCAGCATTATTCCAGCATTCAATGATAAATGATGCTTTCCATGTATGATTGTTTTTGTCGTGTCCTTCCACACAAAGAACAAACCCATACCCTCTCAAGATTATCGTACTTCACGAAGCCGATTAGTCAACTCTAGTGCCCACCAACTCCTATTCAAAGTGCATCAGTTGCACATAATATATTTGTTGTATTCACAGGCCAATCTTTGAATAAAATATTAAAAACAGACTCATAAGTTGAATCTTGATTTCCTTATTATGTTTTGAATTGAATTCATTCATTAAAGAATACATAAGTTAATTTGAAAAGATTTTCTTATACTTCTATGAATTGAAGGCATGAACTTCACTTTGTTACATTCATTTGCCTTGTTGATGAGATACATCTCATAAGGGGAGATGATATGGTTAAGAGGGATAAGATGATGAGATACGAGACTGAGATTAAAATATGTGGAAGATGATGACAAGGATGAGATTAAAAGGAAGAGATAAGATTAAAAGATAAATGAAGATATAAGTGAAAAATGCTTAAGGGAAATAATTCAAGAACATACAAAAGGTAGATGATATTGATTATAATTGACAGACATAAAAGTGGAGATTTAAAGACTATTTCAAATGTGGTGTTACCAATAATATTGGGGGAGATTATTCAAAAGTATTGTGGTAAAGTAAGATTACATGTATTGGAAAGATTGCAAATGATAGGGGCAGATTGTTCAAAATATGTGAAAGATCAAGGTAATTCAGATATTTGCTGAAAGAATCACGTATGGAAGAAAGTCAAGTTTCTTTGAAGAATTCAAGTGATTAAAAGTCAAAGTCACAGCTTTTGGAATATCTGAATAAATTTATTTTAAAGATTATTTCTGAAGATTATTGTTAAATCTGAAGATCTCAAGATTTGGAGAATATTGTTTTTGGACTTGAATCCAAAGGGGGAGATTGTTGGAATTATAAAATCGTATTCAAGTCCTTGTGTTTAACTGTTTTACTCTGTATGCTAGTAAGCTTTGTAATAAGGGTATAAATAGGCTTAGTTAGTTGTTCTAGTTAGTAATCAGGAGTTGATCATATTGTAATCATTCAAGAACACTATGTACTTTGAGAGAAATTAATATACAGCTGACTGATTCAATTTTGTCTATGATCTAGTGTTCTTGATTGTTTAATTGATTGTGACTTGAATCTAGGATCTACAACATGCTTTAAATATTAGAATTTCTCAATTGTTTATCTTTTTTCTTGTAATTTCTCTTTACAAGTTCTGACTCAGTAAACTAACTTCTAACACACAAAAGATCCCAAAAGCAATAAAAGGGGCATGTATCTTACAAGTTCTTTTTCCATACTAAAACATATAAGCAATTTTCTTTATGTTTTTTTGTCATCATAAAATAGGGGGAGATTGTTGATTCAAACTCTCTTAGTGATTTGATGATAACCCTTTATAATTAGTGAAAAATGCTTAGTTTTGTTTTTGTTTAGTTTCAATAATCATCTGTGAGCTTGTTCAGTGATAACTTCTTAAAGAACAAATATTCCCCAAAGACAAAACTTACACTAAGGAACCTTCAACAATGTCGAAGAAGTAGCAGAAGATAGAGATAACAGTTTGTAATGTGAAGTGGATTCAGTGATAACAAGAATGTCTAAATCAAAGTACGAAATCTGGCCAAGACTCAGCAAACACTGAAGAAACTTTAGAGTTGAATTAGTGTCAATGATCAAAGGAATCTTGCTCTAAAAGATTAGTTTTTGTCTAATCCTCTTGCACAAATAGGACAACCCCATACCTCACACCGAAAAGTACACGTACGAAATTACTTTATTTTCTCCAAACGTGCTTACCAACTTTGTGAAGGTCAATTGTTCATATGGGGCTAAAAACATGCAAATCTGAAGATAAATGATAAGCTCTCCACTAGAAGTTTGCCATGTGGCTCGTACCTTTTGACTTGTATTAAATGCAATGGGTATAAATAGCTAAGAAGACTCTCTTCTTAACAAGCACCTTCTTCTTATTCTAACTCTCTTTTCTCTTGTTCTTATCTTTTGTCCAATCTGTGTGTTTCTAAGATTGTTTAGATTAGGTCTTAACCTTATCTTCTTCCGCAACAATCTGTAAATTCCATATTGATCTTCTGTTATTAATAAACGAATTTAAAAAGTGAAAAATTGTGTGTTTGATAACCCCAGATAGATTAATAAATAACAATTCAATGATTCAAGATCACAATTAATACAAATAGAAATGTAGAGAGAGAGAGAGAGAGTAGAAATTTAGAGAGATAATTCGTTTAGCTCCAAATGTATATTAGATTCAAATATTACAAATTATCTTCTTAGCTTTCGAAATCTTCTAACACTTAAGTTTACACTCAGTCCACCTATTTATACACAAGATAAGCACTAGAAGCATAAAGCTTAGATTCAACGTTGAAGGCTCAAAACTTGATCCTAACATTCCCGTCTTTTGGATTCAAGCTTTAACAAAAACCTTAAAAAGATCCAACACAATATTTTTCAAGCTTTTAACAGCACCAAACTTCAGAATTATCAGCATCTTGACTTCTTCAAAATTTAACTCTCTATACTTTAAACATTCTCCTCCTTGATCTCTCAAGACTTTAAACATTATCCCCTTGTAGAAACTTTGAACATTCTGCTTCTTTGGATTCGTCCTTTGAATACTTTGTTAAAACTTCTTCTTTAAGTAACAAATTCATTTTCTTCAAGAACTTCAAATCTTCATTATCTTTCTCATTCTCCCCCTTTTAGAAACTTTTCAACACATTCTCTTTAATAAACTTTTCTCCTCCTTTATCAGCAACAATCTTCAAACAACTTTAAAAATTATCTTTACTTGAAATTATGTCTTTGAAAACAATTCTTCCCCTTTGATGATATATCTTCCCCTCATAATGATTAGGAGAATCCTGAACATCATGGATAATCAAAGATCTAACAATCTCCCCCTTTTGAAGAAATCTAAACATCATGAATAACCAACGATATAACATTCTCCCTTTTTCACACTTCTCCAGATATACTATTCCTAAAGAAATGAATCATATTCTCAACAGTGTTTGTATTCACCCCCTCCCTTTTATGAATTGTTAACTTTAAAACTATAATAGATCCGTTTGAGATCAACACGGTAGCTGCAAGGGCTTCATCAATTAGTGTTTAGTAGATTCTCTAATTCACCTACCCAAAATCAGTCAAATCTAGAACCACATAGTTTGACAGCTTCTCTTGCCCCCTAACACAACCACCTTCAGAGAGGATTTTGGATTTGATTTCATGGCTTAAGTTGAGGTTTGGTTTGTATTTAGATTCGGATCTTGGATTTGGTGTTTTAGTTATTCGGATTTGAATTCTGCTTTTGGTATTTTGGATTTGGATTTGAGTTTCACTTTGATGTTTAGCCAGGGGAGGGTCGTAGGTGAAGTTGACCGGAATGGAAGTTTTGTTGGTAGAGGTGTCATGTGTCGTTGTTTTTGTGGATAATTTTGAAAGATCTTTAAGTTTTAATATAAAAAGAAAGTAGAAAAACTGATATACCCTCATCTAAATTAGAGGGAGGGATTACAGACTGTCTTTTTTGCATATTACAATGGCCAATTTGGAATTTCAAAACTGTAGAAACCAAAAGTTTTATAACCACCAAACCACAGGGACCAAATTTATAATTTACTCTATAAATTAAATATTCATATCTCCTTACATTTAAAAAACAAATGTCATAATATTATTATTTTTTGTTTTCTTTATTTACGCATTCTATTGCAACTCAAATTTCCACTCAAAAACCTCATGGAACTCAAAAGAACCAACATTAATTAATAGGATATCTCATATTAACCTTCTTATTTGAATAATTTCAACTATGAGATAAATTTGAGATCTTCAAGGCCCCACTAAATTAGAATCCGACACGCCCCAAACTTTAAAGATGATAGGTCAAACAAAAAAAAGGTGAAACATAAAATAAGGATATCGACAAAAAAAACATAAAAATGTCTTAAAACACGTCAAAACCACATTTTTTGGCCTAAAAAATCTCTAAGAGTGTTGTTCTTACTTTAATTCGGCATATCATCGGCTTGAAACAGAGATCCACAACAAAAGTTATGCGCTTCTAACATGACCGCACCTCTACTGGCCTAGTCTCACTACAAGAAAAATGACCGGTCGTCAAGATCAAACATGAAACAGGAAAGATGTAACAAATGATTTTTATTTCATAGTACAAGTTGAAGTCAGTTGGAAATTAATTTAACAGTAACCAAAATTTACTCTTTTACTGATATATTATTATGTCACGTGTTGCAGACACGTTGAAAACAATACATGATGTATATATATATATATATGTGATCCCTTACAAAATGAATATGAATAACAGAAGAAACCCAAAGATAGAAACAAAGTACAGACTCAAGTTGCTATCAGAGTCCAGATTTGTATGGAACACCCGTAGCTTTAATCCACTTATCCCCTTCGATAAATGATTTCACACTAAACTTACTCGCTTGTTTCTTCGTTATAAACTTCAATCCTTTCCAATTAACCCTCTTCTTTGTATCTGCACCTGGACCATAATTTGCAAATTCTGCATAAAATATGGTGTTTGGAGCTGTTGTTCCCACCCATGGTAACCATCCCTTTGGATCAATCAAACTTCCCATCATATTGTTAGCATAGACTGTAGTCGAATGGTTCTTCCATGGCCGTCCAAGAAACGTGCTAACATCACTCAAGTTTCCGTATGGCCAAATGGTGCAGCTTTCGATAGAAATTCCCGTGTTTTGATTAGGATCAAACTTGCCTTGTGCCGTGATCGTGTTTTGTTGGCCGGTCATTGGTCGTCGTGGAAGAATGTTGCAGTTTTGAAGAACAACTGCCGAGTTGCCAAAGATGAAGTCTACTGTGCCATAGATATTGCATTCTCTATAAAACTGGCGGTTCGAGTGTGCGTATAAAGAGTCTTGGAAAGCATCAATTCGGCAACGGTAGAAGGCTGATTGGTCGGCCGTCGACATCAGTGCGACCGCCTGGTGCTTGATTGCACCAGCCGTGTTGCGAAAGCCCATATCGCGGGCTATAAACCCTTTGCCGAATACAGCTGCATCAGAAGAAAAAAAAGTTAGAAAAAGGATTTGTAGATGTCTATAGTATCTAAGCGTTATATGATTGTGAGATGGAGTTTATAAATCGAAAGGTTTATATAATCTTTACGGGCATCATTACAAGAAAAATCGGTTTTATATGACGTCAAAAATGTCTTAATATTCTGAGACTGTTTTATAGAACTGAAGTTTTATATGATACTTTTTCAATCGTATGTTGTATATAAAGATCTTATAATACAATATTTGGATCGATTTGGGCATCAATTTGACAAGTGTCCTATTAGTTTTTCGCTATCTTTATGTGACAAGTGTTTTAATAAGACAATTTTGACTAGTGTCATCGTAAAATGATTAATAGAATGTAATATTTCTAAATTTTCTTTAAAAACTTGATAGAAATCCCAAAAATATCTTGTTAAACTATTGGAGCACATCTATAATGATGAATAATTGATTGGTTTATACTACGTAATTTAAAATCATTTTATCATAATGCATGATAGAAAAATATGGCATTTCTACAAAAGAGATAACATGTGTTTGGTTAGAGGTATAAAACAGTAATCACGAATTAAAGATAATATACTGACCGAAAGTTGCCGACGAAAACGTAGGAGTGCCATCTACGACGTTTAATCTTCCAGATACAATCGTCGAATCCATTCCATCACCAATCATCATAACGTTCCATTTTGGTTTTTCAACCCTAACATTCTCGTAGTAAATTCCCTTCTTCACGTAAATCACGAATCTTTTCGTGCTCTTATCAGGAACGGCTTTAAGAGCATCGGAAATTTTCTTGAACTTGCCGGATCCATCCTGAGCCACCACCACATCGGCTTTGATTCCAGCAGGTAACTTTGTCTTCTGTAGCAGTTTCCGGTCTTTAAACGACAACCATTCGGGCATTTCGTCGCTCGATAAACTCATCAATCTTCTTCTTTGGATATAAGAATTTGCAACATTTGAAAACCCTTTTATGATTGCAAGACTGTTGCTGGTTAACTCTGTGGATTTCTGAAGGTAACCCATAACATTTTCTTCAACACTATCGATGCATGTTTGCTGAAATGTGCCAGCAGCACTTATCCACGTCATAAGATCATCTAACAGATCTTTTATCGAATTCAAATCGACATCAGTTGCTGATAAGGAATCATTCAGATGATCTAGGGCAAGACCCAGTAGTTCACTGCAGTTCTTGAGCTCCAAAAGTGTGTAAGCTTTGGAGAGCTCATCAATGGCGACTATAACAGAGAGTTTGAGTAACTTATCAAGCTGAACATGGGTCGAGTTGACACGAGGGGAGAGGGAGGTGAAACAGGTATTGGGATATAAAGTGGTATCGCAAACTGCTTTAATAGAAGCCATTGATGATGGAGATTGTGATTCGCCACCATTATGGTTGTTGTCTTTGCTACCGGTGGTTCCGGCAACGGCTGAAACAACGATGATAACGAGAATGAGAGACGATATGGCAACAACAGCGATTCTTTTTCGTGTTTTCCTTTTGGCATCAAGCTTGATTTGATCAGCCTCGTCGACCTTTCCATAGGACTTGAAAGAATTCATGGCTAATGGTTTGAAGGTGTGTTAAACGTGTTTGTTGTTTGTTCATTAGGGTTTGTGATTTATAGAGAGCCATAATCAAGAAAAGAAGGAAGAGACGATACGTGCAAAGCACCTCCATTACTGGTTTTCATGAACATGGATGCGACTCATCAAGATTAAAGAAATGAACAAGAAGCTGACTTTTTAAATCTTATATATAACACCAACTCCTTTCTAGCTATCATCTGCCCATTTGCACTTGATTAATAATATTGGTTACGACGTCCAAAAAAATACAATATTTATTTTCTAATGAAAATATATATACTTTTTGGAATGAATATATATAATGTGGATGAAAGTGAGAAATTTCAAGATCATATATAATTAAATGTAATACGAACGGTTAATCATATATGATGCTCTCTAAAGTAAAGAAAAGGGATTATAAATTGAATTCTCATTTTTTATTTTCTTTGTGCATCGGTTAAAAAAAATTGCTTTTGGGCCAATTTATGAGATTCTGATATTATTGATCAATTTTTGCTTCAAAAGGGACGTTTCTTTTATTAAACACATCAAAAAAGACGTGGTGGGTTTGGTGAACGCGACCGACTTGGTGACAGTGACCAAAGGTTGTGGTGGAAGGTCTCTCGCTATAGGTAGGTCAACGCAACATGCACCATAAAATTAGTCCCTATGAACAATGTATCAGGTCGTTAGTAATCGTCGCAATGCTCATTTCCGTAGATGATCCATCGCTGACAGTATGTCGGTCAAGTATTGGCAGGTGATGCTATCAGCGATGGAATTTAATGATGGACAACTTCAACGTCCGATCAGCGAAGCGACATATAGTATCAGCGATTAGTTAGCGAGGGCTTTTTAGCGATGGATTAGTGATGGCCAATATTATCGACGAAATAGGGAGGGTCTTTTAGCGACGACTGCATGCCAACTTTTAAAAAATTAAATAGATTTATGTTGCTATTTTTGGTAATTCAAAAAAAAATTAAAATTTTGTATTTCCTATATATTGTAGACCAAGCCTGCCCATAAATTCAAAATAACAAACAAAAGTTTTTCAACAAACTAAAAATAATCAATTTATATAATTCAAAATATTAAATTCATACAATTCAAATAATATTCGGAGGTATGTAACAATCTAACTATGGGGAGGGGGGATGATAGGGCTGGCAATGGATAAGGTATGAGTAGGGCAAAGTTTATTTTATCATCCATTCCATATAAAATAACAGATAACAGATAAATGGTAGAACAAAATTTCATTTGTAATTATAAATAATAACGTTAAACCTCAAACATATATGTAAAATATAAGTTCATAAATATAATATTATTTTACATCTAATCAGTTATGGTAAACATTGTAATATTACTCTAATATAAGCATAGTATAATATTTTAAAAACAATATAGAATTTTGTAAAACAACAATTTTCTTGTATCTATTTATTCCCGGCCTCGTCTCGTTTCTCATGAACCATTTTACTTAAATATAAAACGTAAATTAATTACACATTAATATACGAGAGGTATGATAGCATTATAATTAAATTTTTTAATTAAAGTGTAATATTTAAGTTAATAAATTTATGTATATATTGATATATATTAATATTTAACTTAATATAATTAGACATACATTTATATATAAGTGAAAGATCGTGTGAAAAGAAAAATTATGATGAGAAGCGTAAAAAAAGATCTGAACCATTGATCATTTTTAATGTCCACCCATGAATTGGGCTTTAGAAGAGAATTTATGTGGTGATCTCGATGAACCTCGTTACTAATGACATTCAATTACGATTGATTTAAGAGTGAAAATCTTTTCTTAGTTTTTCACCATAACTTCCCTTATCATCATAACCTAAATCTATATATGCTTATACACATATACATACATATATATGCTTATACACATATACATACATATATATATATATACATATACATATATATATATATACACACACATATATATACGTTATTTCGTAATGGGCAATGGATAACAAAAAACCGTTTATCCATACCCTACCCACTAAAATTCCGTGTAATTTAAGTGGATAAATGGAAAAAAAAATATTTACACACACCCTCATCCAACGGGTCAAAATATAACAGATAACGGGTTTACCCTTAAGGAAGGGGACAGTATATCCATGTTGCTGCATAAAAGCAATAAACTGATGCGATATCATGACCTGCTGAGCTAAACATTAGCTGGTCTAACGGTCATCCAGATCTACCCTACTCTTCCGAACAACCTCCATCTTGAAATAGCCTTCCTCTCGCAGGTTCACCTCCTTTGCCTCCTTAACTATCCTTGGCATTTTCGATTTCAACTTAGCTACCTGTAAATATCCAATATTTGACAAAAATCAGTAATTATCCAACCTAGCTACCTATAAATATCCAATATAACCACCATACCTCTAATGTCGATTCAGTAATAGATGATCTCATGGTGCTGCTACTACAATCACCTTTCATAGAATAACGATGACCCTAAGAGGTCTCATACCAAAAAGACGGTCATTTCTCCGTCCTCCGACACTCTGCTCCCAAAGGGCTACATCATCAGGAGGTATGGAACTTCTCACCATAATCATATATGTGTTTAATCATTATGATTAAGCGTTCATATAACATTTAATCATATATGATCTTGGAAGTTCTCGTCTTCTCACAAATTGACCATCTTCTCATTTGAACTCTCCCATATATATATATATATATATATATATGTTAAATCAGATAAGAAGTACAAAAATGTTATAACCCGTGAGAATCAGTTAAAAAATATTTTTTTTGCATTATTTTTTTTATCACATGCTAGAATGTAAGTTATTGTTTTTTATACGGGTCTTGGCATGGAGGAGTGGAGGACTTGATCAAATTGTTCCTGGATGCACATTTGGTTTTGGCCTCATCATTTACATCCTGCTTGTATAAGTTGGATGGTCGTTGCTGGAATGCATAAACTTTCATTTTTCTTTCCAAATTTAAGTTCATTGTGAAATAGATTTAAAGCCCAAAGTTTTGTATTTTTGTCGAATCAACAAACTTTGGAAGAGGTTATTCTCAGGCATTAATAGAATCAACAATTAGTCTTTGATTTGATATTATGTATTGCATCAGGTGTTATCATAGTCGAATTCTTGGTGCTAATGCCTCTAAGGAGACACCCGTAAGTTCATAGACTCGACGAGGTCTATGAACGTGAGTTGTGTTAAACCCAAATTGAATCAAGTAACAATGAATTCTAACAAAGATCAAGAACATGATATGTAAAAATGAATGTCTAATGTCATTGATCTTAGAGAGAGAAAGTAACATGAGAGTTATGAGTATTTCTCTCTCTCTACAAGTTTACAGATGATTTACAAATGAATTTTTTTCTACAATACAAGTAAACAAAGGTATTTATACATACACCTAATAAAGCAAGTAAACTACAATCAAGCTCCTTAAATGTTGACTTTTATTAACTTGCTGACTTTAGCTTTGACCAATCTTCATTACAATAAATCTGCAGGCACGGTGATATTAGATACAATAATATTTGGTCTAACAATCTTCGTCTTTGTATTCGAGATCACATTTCTTTATATCACAACCTTTTATATACACAGCAACAGATCTTTGATTTTAATAATCTCCTTCCACGAAGACAATTGTACCCTATCAACCTTTGAATCAAGACGAATTTGAAGAATAAACAATCTCCCCTTTAACAAAACAATCTTCAGAATGAGATCTTCACTTTAAATTCTCATTGAAACAATCTTCAAAAACTTTCTCATTTGAACTTCAACAAATAAATCATCAGAAAAATCTTTTGAATCAACAATTAAGTTGTAGACATTTAGGCTTCGAGCTTTCACACCATGTGTACTAAGCTCATCACCTTTATATCATGAAAGAATCCAACTTTAATAACAAGATCTTAATATAAACCAACTTTAGCAACAAACTTCTTAAATAACTCTGACCTGTAAACTCAAAGAATTTAACAGATATATCAACAAAGAATTTCAACATTTCAGCACCAACCACTTCATCACATCTACAATCTTTGAATCCAATGGATTTTTAACCTTAACTTAACAGATTTAGAAACAATCTTTCTCTTCTACAAACTGATTTAACAAATTACCAGTTAACCATTTTTAAACTTCCCTTACAAAAAACTTTCCCTTCAACATGACCACTTCCATCAAATTATCTTTGAAATCAATATCATTTCTCCCGCATAATCTCTTCATGGTTGTGAATAATATTTCTCTCCATGTATTTTATACGATTTCTCCCCCTCATGATGATTAGGAGAATCCTGACATCATGAATCATCAAAGACCGGACGAATTAAACTTCAACAAAAACAAATCATTATACAGAATTTTCAATCACATTCTCCCCCTTACACGAATTAGATTTCTCCCCCTCAAAAAAAATATCTCCTCCAAAACAAATTTCTCCCCCTTTTGAAAAATGGTAAGAAACACATTTAGCTACTGGTATCACACCAATTAAAATAATTGAGTGGCATATTTTTAGTGTTGCATCGGTGTAGCACTGATAAGAATTCCTTTCATCACTAAAGTAAAGTTATAAAACTTACTTCTCATAGTGTTCCGAAATTATCATAAAGATATGTTATTGAAATCACAAAGACTCATGGAAGTGTGAAAGAAAAAGTCATATAGATTTGGCTCAAAGATTAATTCAACCTGGCACGTAAGTTAAGAAATTAATAAACATAGTGAATTGAATATGCAATTCGAAGACCAAAGGTTTTTCTTCTTGTTTCAATATCTAAAAGTTCTGAATGAAGAACAAATAGATTATATGATCATTCTCCGTGATTTATGTAACATATATCTTTTATGAGATACTTGAGTGGCTAGGTAGGGTGACACGAGTTTGCAACACTAGGTCCATGTTTGTTTCAATATTCATCTTCAAAGAATAAGAATGAATAGATGTATGGC